ATAAATTAATATTTGGATGCTACATGTATCTGGGAAAAATAATCTTCCAGGCTTTTCAAAGAAACTGGAAAGTCCAATTTCTGTCTGCTTTCAATTACTTACAGCTGCAGTTCCACAGTACCCAGTTCTGTCTCCTGGTCTCGAAGGGTTAATGTTGGCTTTGGCACCAAGCAGATATTTCTGTTTTCATACACCATTTTAATGAGAATTCAGAACAATGATGTTAGAAAGAAAACATCAAGATTTTATCAGTACTCCCCAGGGACTTCTGCTTATGATCCTTTTTCACTGGAGTTTTTAAAAGATTATTTCTGGGTATATTAATCTTTTAATATATTAATCTTTTTAATAAAAGATTATTCCTGGCTCCCCAAACACGGAGGCATCCTGGGCCATAGGTCTTGCTTGCTATACACTCACATGTAAGTCCCGAGCAATTACCATATCTATAAATTAGGTGGTGCGATGTGAAACCACTGTGGGCACCTTAACAACATGTTCCATTATGGCTTGTGTTAACACAAGGTTTCAGCAACTCTTATGAGAGCACTTAGCTAAGGAACCTAGAGAAGTTTGTCAGCCTCTTTGTGAAAGATTGCCTTTTTCAGATGCCTAGAGTCTTAATATAGAGAAATTAAAAACCTAAGAAACTAACACACTGACCTAGCTTAGACAAGATCTGTGTCATGTTGCTTGGACATGTGGCTATGCAAGCAGATGTGTATGCAAGTGTCCTCTTAATTCAGTGCCACCAAAATGACAGCCACGAAGTTAGTGACAACCTCTTCTTGAATCTAAGGCAGAAAAAAAGGAAAGCATGCCCTTAGCCGTTGCCACAAACCTGTCAATTTTCTGGAGCAACTGTGCTATTACTGTGTAGATGACGTTTTGAAGTTCAAATGGAGCAGATAGGAGTACACCAGGTGTGGAGTGCAGGAAATGTCTCATTTCTTCTTTTAAAAAAACTCTCTAAACATGAACTGTTAGCCCCTACCCCCAACCCCACCCCAAGGCTGAAGGGAAATTAAAATGTAATCATCACTGGGTATCCTCCTTTCTCCCCAAGATGTGCAAAGGACCTGGAGTCTTCCATAATGCCTTGAGTTTGAAGAGCTGTGCTGCTCTGTGCCTCATGTAGGCACATCCTGTTCCCAGAATGCTAAAGGGATGCAGGGCATGAGTCCTCTTTGAACCTGAGTCCCACAGTGATCCTCTTCCTCCCCACTGAGGATAATCCTCTGCTGGTTCCATCTGTAGGGTCCTGCCTCTCTCCCACCTCCTCTGGGACACCTGACACAGTCTCTTCTCCAGTGAGCTGGGGCTTGGGAGGTAAACATCCCAAGGTAGTGGCCAGGCCACTTGGGGGAAGGCTTGCTTGGTCCATTACAGTAGCTGCTAGCTGTGTTACTAGCTTGCTAGCTAGCTATTTGAGTTAACTAAAATGAGGGAAGCCTGGCTGGCTCATTCAGTAGAGCATGGGACTCTTGATCTTGGGGTTGTGAGTTCAGGCCCCATGTTGGCTGTAGAGCTTACTTAAAAATCAGATCTTTAAAAAACATATAGAAAAAATAAATTAACTGAAATGAACAATTTATTTCTTCAGTCAACTCGTCACACTTCAAGTGCCCAGTTGCCACACAGCTAGTGGCTGCCCCATCAGACAATTCAGATGGAGGAAAGTTTCCATAGGAAATGGTGTTGAATAGTGTGGGTCTCTAATGAGCAATTAATGTGTGTTTTCTAGAAGCGGTTGAGGGGGGGACCCACTGCTCTTCTAGCTTGTTCTCTGACTCAGCTTGGCCTTAGTTTACTGAGAAAGGAGAACGATACAAGTGAAGGGCCGCGGGAAGTGATGGCTGCAGTGAGCTGACCCACACAGTCATTCTGGAGAGATGGGTTCCTGTGGTTAGGTGTGGTGGAGCTTAGCCTGTCACCCTTTGTCTTCCATGTGGTCCAGTCCTGAAGGACTGGAATAATCACTGGAGCTAAGAATTCCTGTTTCTTTAAATGTATTTTGAGATTTATCTGTTAAGCGGAATCTTGGGCTTTATGTGAACGCATAAAGTTTAATGCATGTTATGGCTCCATTTCCCTTGGGGCAGGCATCAGGAAGCAGAGGGAATTGTGGTTTGAGCGTGGCCGGTTTGGTTCTGTGGATGGGGTGGGTACATCCAGCAGGGAGGGTCCCCCTGACCAAGACAAGCCTTCCCAGGGAATCAGGAGCCTGTGAGCACATGGAGTCTGATGGGACGGTGCATGCTGGAAAAATATCCACGTCCCCTGCCGTCGGTATAAACCAGCACTGGTGAGACAGTGAAGAGCCAGACTCCCTGGCTTCTTCAAGTAAATACTACACAGCAGACATTGTGTAGATGGGATACAAATGTGGAATGAGCCTCCGTCCCTGCCTGCAGCCAGTAGTTCATTCAAGAGCACTCTTAAAATGGGCATATTTTAATATCCTTATTTCTTTCGATTTTCTCACCCCATGAAGATAGGCTGTGCTTTTAAATAAGTTTCAGCCCTAAGTCACATTCTGTGTCTGGCATAATGGAAACAAGGAGACGGTTGTTTGGGAGTTGGGAATTTGAGGCACGTGCTTGCTGGGGTGCGCATTAGGCGAGGAGGAAGTCCCGGAAGTGAGTCGAAGATCCTTTAATGAAATGCAGGCACTGCAGCCTTTATATCTGCTCCCCTCCTGGGCTGCCATGGCCATCCCCTTATTCGTTGCCTGGTTCAGGTTTTTGCTCTGTTGGCATTGCCCTTTGTGAGTGCAGGCATCCTCTCTGCCCTTCGTTGCTTGAGGAAGCCTTTTAAGAGGCGGGCAGCGGGGTGGATGGTCTCTGGCATGTGTCACCCTCAGGTTCCGGTGGCCTTGCTGAGCCCCACTCTGCTCCCAGCTGCAGGTTTGAGGTCACTAACGAATGCAGGTCTCTGTTCACATGTTTTATAAAGTGATGTGACTTAAATTATCCTGGATCTCACTGTGCCTCGCAGAGCAGGTGCCCCTGGGAGAACGCACGAATGGCCTGAAAGTACTCCCATTGCTCAGAATGTTTGGAGCTCTGGAGGGGATGGTGTGCACCTTCTACCAGAGTGCTTACAGTTCTGAGTTACTGTCCTATTCTGCACCATCCCTTAGGGTGAGCTTGATGTCTGGAATTACCTGAAGTCTTTTACAGTCAGATCTGGTCAGTAGGATATGGTAGTGGGTGGGAGGAACACTGATTCTAGTAATAGCTTTCAGAGCAAATAAATACATATAAATACAAAGCTTGCAGACTGGGATGGGTTGATTGTTTGCTGCTTTTGTGTAACTGGACTGTTGATTGCGGAAAGGACTCCACAGAGAGTTTTGAGCATGACCATAGATAGGATGGTGTCCCAAGGAGACTACTTTAAACAAACAAAAAAAAGTAATACTAGATGCAGATTTTGGCTTTTTTTTTTTTTTTAAGATTTACATATTTTAGAAGAGTGCGTGCATGCACAACCCTGGGTGGGGGGCTGGGCAGCTGGGCACAGGGAGAGGGACAAGCCGACTCTCCCATGAGTGCAGAGCCCATGCGGGGGGGGCTCGATTCTAGGACCCTGAGATTATGACCTGAGCTGAAATCAAGAGTCAGATGCCTGACTGAGCCGCCCAGGTGCCCCTTGGCTGTTTCTTTTAAAACTGTCACACTTCTGCATTATAGATAGGATTATAGAGCCAGTGATTGCTCAACTAAATCCGAGAATCCCCTGTTTTTTCCTTCCTAGGTGGAGAGGCTTCTTGTCTCTTTTCCCCTCACTCACCTTGCTCCCTCTCTTTATCTTGGGCCTGGAGAGTCCTGCCTGTACATTTTGTTTGTTCCTGCTTAGGTTGTGGGAGCCAGCCCCTGAATTGAATATGGTGCCTCCCTCCAGGCCACCCAGCAAGGCCACTGCCAGTCTGAGATGACTTTTTGACTAACAAGCACCACGTTATAGAGAAAGAAACTGGAAGACAGTCCTTCCCAAACGTGGCAAGGGTTAAAAACTGACAACCCAGGTTGCACTGCATATCAACTGAAACAATGTCTATGGATGGGGTCCAGGCCCTGGTAGTTTGTCAGAGATCCCCAGGTGATTCTGATCAGCAGCCAAGTCTGAGGACTACTGTAAGAAGGGGGATTGTCCTTGACAATGTGAGCAATTACACCTGAGCTTAAACACAGCCAGCTCAGTCTTCCATCTCTCAGGCAACAGGATGTGCTAGAAACGGTACTGGATGCGATAACAGTCTATAGCCTACTATTCTGGTGACTTTGGCAAGCCACTTAGCCTCCTATGGGCTTTTTCATCTATAAATAAGATAATCACAATACCTGTCTAATAGGGTCCTATTAAGAAATGAGAGAGACAATGTGTGGAAGGCTTTGTAAATCATGAAGTGCTGTATAAATGCTTGTTAATACTGGAGATCATTCTTTTGTAGAAATATACTCATTTTCTAGGTCCCCTGGTGAGATAGCTGGGATGACTCTGGCGGCAGTAATTCCTTTGTTACCAGCAGTAATGCTGGAAACTGTTTAGGACCAGAATTCCTTTCTCTCAGCTAATAAAGGGGGCAGCGAGGAGAAGTGGTCTCCCTTAGCTTTAAAATGAAACCAATGGCCAGAGCCTAAGAGCCATTGCCCCATAATGCCCCGGGAATGCTCCCTGCCCTCCTGTTGGCTGACTAGGAGCTGAGGGGCCTGGCGGAGAGGAACATCAGTATTCCATGGGCTTCTGAGCCTGACTTTCATCTACAGGCTTTCTGTTTCACCGGATTTCATCTATATCAGAGTGGATGAAACAAAGTAGAATTGCCCTCAGAGTGTTACTGATGGGCCGCAAAGGAAGCTCAAAGGGCTGTTCTGTTGGCCAGGGCCCCTTCGGTCATTTTCATCAGTATGACTGTGGTGTCTTTTGTGGGAAACGTCATCATGGCTCTTTTGAGTACAGACTGAAGTGTTTTTTCTTGGGCCTGTCCTCCTCAGGGATTTGAAGTTGGATGGAGGGAAGCAGTCTTCAGGTGCTGTGAGCTTGAAAGAGATCATTGGTCTTGAAGGCGTGGAGCTGGGAGCCGACGGGAAGGTAAGGCTTCCTGGCTTCCAATCGGCAGGTTCGTGCCCACACCACCGTGTCAGGATGCCGAGGCAGCATGACACACTGTGACCCTGGCTCTTGGTACAGGAACCAGGTCTGGGGCCCATCCCTGCTCCCCTAGCATGCACCCAGAAATCCACCAAGCCAGTGAGGAAATAGCACGAGTATTTCTCTACCAGTGCTACTCATAATGGAACGCAGGATACTGATGAGTATCTCACACCCACATGTGCATGCCCTGGAATCAGAGGACCGGTGGTTTGAATGCACCGGTTGATTCATGGTGTCAGCAAACAATGTTCCCGCCACTAGAAAGTTTGTTTTGAGTGGGAGGAGGTTGGGGAGAGAGGCTTCCCACGGTCCTAAAAAGCTGAGTCTCAGCCTTAGTGAGCACCTCACAGGAAGGCTGTCACAGTTCTCCTTATCCGCAATCCAGTGAGCTGCTGGGTGGAAGTCCAGCAAGTGAGGTTGAAAGATGAACTTTCTGTGCTGGATCCAGTCAGTCTTTGCAAACCCTTCAAAAGCCTGTTTATGGAGATGATGCAGGTATTTGGAGAAGCCATCCCACGGTAGTTTGCTTCCAGCTGAAGCTGCTGGGGCAGCATATGACCTCCTCCCCTCCCCTCTCCCAGAACAGCTGGTCACCACTGTGTCTGGGTGACATCAGCCCCGAGCTCACAAGCAGGGGTGCATGAGTGTGCTGCTCCAAGCAGGTGAAAAGAAAAACTTGTTCTTTGTTCATTGCCGAAGGTTGAGCGTTCACCTAGCAATGAGGGAGGTGAGCTAGAGATCACATCTGCCAATGAAACATACAGGAGGCCCCGACCCCTCATCAGACACTCTTGGGGCCTGATGTGTTCTGGGATTCTGCACTTGGTGGGTTATAAGGCTTGTTCGGTGTTTTAAAAAAAAAAATGTAGTCTGTGTGTCATGTATTACACAACATCCCAGCAGCTTCTGGGATAGTTCTCAAACACACTAACATTTCTACCACATAACATGAGTATTCACATGAAGTGCAATATTAAAACTATATATAGCTTCAAGTCAGTTGAATTTAGGTTTTGGCACAAATAAATACCAAAATAAGTTTCATTTCTGATCTCACTGGATTTTAGAAGTAGTGGGAAATATCAGAAAGGGAGACAGAAGATAAAGACTCCTAACTCTGGGAAATGAACTAGGGGTGGTGGAAGGGGAGGAGGGCGGGGGGTGGGGGTGAATGGGTGACGGGCACTGAAGGAGACACTTGACGGGATGAGCACTGGGTGTTATTCTGTATGTTGGTAAATCGAACACCAATAAAAATTAATTTATTAAAAAAATAAAATAAAAAAAAGTACAGATGTAAGAATATGGACATGAACTTGGTGTGGTAACATAGCTTGGTCAGGATGCATAGCTAACATTGCCTGGGAATAATCTATTTTGCTCATTTTTGTTTTCACCTTTTAGACTGTTTCTTACACCCAATTTCTGCTACCCACAAATGCCTTTGGAGCCCGGAGAAATACCATAGACTCCACCTCCTCCTTCTCCCAGTTCCGTAACCTGAGCCACCGCAGCCTTTCCATAGGACGTGCAAGCAGCACCCAGGGGAGCCTGGACACAGGTAACCTTGGGTGGGGGCTAAGGCCAGGCAGTGCATGGCAGAAGGTGCCTTGGTGCACAGCGTGTGTTGGGTCTTCCTGTGTGCAGACTGGAGGATGGGTGCCTCTGGATGGCGTGTGAGCCCATCCCACGGGGGACATGACTTTTGGGCAAATCTAATTTCAGGCCATACAGGTTCACAGCCAGGCCAGAGGGGGACCTCATCAGTGAGATGTTTCAGCCACCAGCACCCAAGCTCCCTCAAGGAGAAATGCTAAGATATGTGCAGATATGGTGGGACCACCTCCCCTACCCCCCAGCCTCTCTGCACCACTCAGCTCCTTATCTCAGCCTGGGTCTTGCCTGTATTTTCTTAGTGTTCAGATTTGGATTAGGTGTGGGAACGTTTTGTGACTCTCATAGCAGGTGAGCTAACATGGCCAACAAACATGAAGGAAGGCTTGCTTGCTTTCAGCCTTGCCTCATCAAACCTTTGTAAACCTGAATAAGGGAGAAAACTATACAAAGCAGTATTATTTTTATTCTCAGAAAAATTCCAGGGGCACAGGAAGTTCCTCAGACCTGTCCAGGTGCTGAGTCTGGATGCACTGTCCTTATGTTCCCGCCATCTCTGGTCACTTACAGCTGTTTGCCCTGGTGCCTGCTCTGATCTGTGTTTGTACAAGACACGGTAGCCAGCCCAGAAGCATTCACTCTAGAAACCTGCAGCTCACATGGCTGAACTTGAGTTGCTAATTGGATCTACAGGTTTGACGAATGCACATTTTTGGTGCTACATTTTGTAATCCCGGTGCTCGCTGCATCTTTTGTGCTCTGGGAGGTTTTGTGCTCTCCCAGGTCAGGGGGAGTGATAAATAATTTTCCAAAGTAGAAAAACTGTCCGAATGTTAAGTATTTGGTGATCCCTTGTGCAGGGGAGATGCTTCATCAACAAGGGGAGCTATCTCCTGAGGGTCAGAGCATGCAGTGTGACTTTTTTGGCTCAATTCCCTGGGGCCCCTATTGATTATTTTGTGTATGACCCTCAGGTAGCGACCTGGGAGACTTTATGGACTATGACCCAAATCTCCTGGATGACCCCCAGTGGCCTTGTGGCAAACACAAGCGAGTTCTCATCTTTCCTTCGTACATGGTGAGTAGCGGAGGAGAGATGGTCTGTTTGCTCACTCCCTCAGCCTCACCCCTCAGGCCCCTCAGGCATGCCCATCCTAACAGGTGGCTGCTCTCTGGAGTCTAGGGGGCTTGTTCACACACTGCTCAGCCTAGGGAGCTTCTGGAGGCTCCCCAGTGTGGGTTGCTCACAGAGTAACCAGCATGGGCTGGTCCTGGGTTCTTCTGGGCACCTGACCTGCATCAACCACTTTGCCTACCAGACTAGCTCAGGGACCCTCACCTGAGCTTACTCATCTGTAGATGCCCCCACCTCCACCCCAGGGAAGAACCAGTTCCATCAGATTCAGCTCTGTCTGGAGTTCCCTGGTGACTGTAGGCTTCCACGTGCACTCCAAACAAACAATTGGCACTGGGCTCCAAATGACAGAATTATCTTCTGGGAGAGTGAAGGTAGGCCACTGTGGGCGTTAAATGCAAAACCTTTCCTTGCCATTTTTACTTCATGGACTCTTCCTGTTTTTCCCTTTGTGGTAATCTTGGTTTCTGCTTTTGGCTGACCACCATTTCCCACCACTTGGTCTGCCATTTCTCCAGACTCCAGCAGGGCCTGGCTGGGTCCTTGTACTTTCTTGGGGCAGACTTGCCCGGACTGAGCGGCTCGCAGATCTGGGGCAGCTGTGGAGGGCGGGGAGCGCTGGGCTTGTGGGAAACCTGCCTGGCCAGGCCTGCCCCACACGGCATCAGGCAGGAGAGCACTGACCTGGAATGCTCCCACCGCCTCCCTGACGGGCCCTGGGGGGGAGGGGCGGGCACAACTCAGAACATCCCGCTCCAGTTCCCTTGCTCCTGCCCAGCCCGTGCTGTTCTCAGCAGCCCTAGCCTTGGGAATGAGCACACGGTCCCTTTTTCTCTTCTGGGTTCTTGTGTCTGCAGAGGCCAGAGTGGGATTCCATTTACTCAAAGGGCCCCTGAACGTTCACCCTGAGCTGAGAGTTCTCAGCCCTGGGGATCCACCCTCCAGCCTCTCTTTTTCTTCCCTGAACATTTGGCGAGTGGCTGACACCAAAGAAACACCAGGCAGAACTCAGGTCCTCGCTACTTGCTCCCAGCATATATCCTGTTCTCCCATGGCATGCTGAGTCAGAATGAATTACCAAAGGCACTGAGTTTAAAATTGCCCCTGCTCCTCATTCTCCCATCCTCATTCTGTACCTCTTAACTCAAAAAGCAGAACCAGAGCCATTTATAATTTTTTGTTCTGCTCTGTGACCTGTAAAGATTATTTACTTTTACAAAACCAGGGCTTATTCATGTAAGCTAGCACGTAATAAGTATTTAATAAATGACCAGAATCACCACCCTAATGGAAAGGAGGGAGCAACTGAAACGTCATGCCTTGTGTAGGAGTAGGATTCTTTATGTTGTTCATTGCTTTATTTACTAAGTAACGGGCAGGAAACTGTGGCTGGGGAGTCTGAGTGAGGCTGTCACCGTTGACAGACAGGAAGTGGGGGCCAAGGCTAGAGCTCCTTCCCTGGTGCTCTTCTCACTTGGCCTGTGACTCCCATATCCCTCAGCAGTCAGCGGCAGAACTGCCGATCTCAGGGTAGGACGTGACAATGACTCTTTAGGGCCAACAGTTTAAAACTTCTGTGTGACCAAGAGAATAAGAGAGGGCACTCTTTTTGATCGACTGGGATTTGGCTGGGAGCTCTTCTGTAGGTCATGTTGTGTCTGGTGATAATATTGACTCTCCTTCTGATGCCTTGTGTCAGGCTGGTGCCAGATCTTATTTTTTTCTTTAAATGGTTTCACTGTGAGCTTCGAGGTTCTGGGCTGCAGTCTTCGTGTGCATGCCTGTGCACACAGGTAATTTTTCCTCCTTGGACAGTGTGCTAGATGATTTGCCAAGTCAGCATATACGTCCTCTCCTCCTTGCTTTATGTTCCCAACTGGCTCATTTTTCATTTTACCATGTTGAATCTACAGCCCCTGCTTCCTGTAATAGTACATGTTTTAAAGAATGAAATGGCTTGTGAACTGCATTTTCTGGTCAGCCCCATAAGATGGACATCTATTCTGGCCGCAGAGATTGGTACTTTGATCAAATATGGGACGTCCACTTTTCAACATTGTTCTCTGTCACTGATATGCATGTCCTGTGTTATTAAGAGCCTCAAACTAGCCCCCGCGAGACTTCTTCTCTAGAAGCAGGCATGGAGTTTAGGGCTGTTTCACATGCAGCTGACTTGCACGAGTAAGTGTGTGGGTTTGGGTTTTGGTTGGTTTGCTTGAAGATACACAATTTGCCCATTCAGCCAGTGTTGACTGAGGCCCTACTATGTGCCAGACCAAGTGCTTCCTTATATGGTGGAGAACAAACCAGCTACTATCCCCATTTTCCTCAGCCTTACAGTGGGTAGAGAAGTCAGACAGTGAACAAGCAGATAAGTCACTATAGTCGTTAGGAGAGGGAAGAAAAGTGGTAGGAGGTTATGGGGGCAGGGTATGGGGGTGAAGGTGGGAGGTCAGCCTCAAGGAAGGTTTCTCTGAAGAAATGACATTGAAGGTGAGTGTGAGTGGTAAGAAGGAGTAGCCATGCCAGGCCCCAGTGGGAAAGGCCCATGTGCAAGACTCTGTCTTGTGAAGGGATGAAAGAGGGTGAGTGTATAAAATCAGTATTTTTAACAATAAAAGTCACTGTCCTTCCCTCTACACATGTGCACACACACATGCACAAGTGGAGAAAGCAAGCCCATAGACTGATGATCCTGATAGATTTTCCATCCTTGACCACAGGCACACAGAGCTGTGCTAGTTATAGGAACTAACTACCAAGGTAGACAGAGCTACAGGGTTACTTGACTTAGGCTGTTGAAAACCTTTGAAGATCTGGGGCCATCTTGGTCTGTGGGTGGGTGGGAGATGAGCCCTCATCATTGGCAGGGTGCCCCTTGCAGACAGATGTCAGGCCTCTGTGAAGTCTGTGCACCCCCAGCTCGTCTGTCCCCCTTCCTGGGGGCTTCCTTTCATGGTCTTTGCTGGAAGATTGGGAGGGAGGCCAGCCAGGAGCCAGGTTTGACTGTATGTGCAGCACTGCCTGTGTCCCTTCATACTGGCTGCCAAGGCATGTGGGGTCCTGCTGCCTATGCCTCTTCTCCTTAGGTCACCAGTGCAGCTTGAAGGAGGCCAGCTCAGTGGTGGCCTCAAGCCTGAGAACCAGGGGCTATTGTCCAGGGTTTTGGGGTGTTTTGCTCCTGTGGAATTCCAGGGCCTGAGATGTTCATGTTGCCTCTGCAGAGTCAACTCAGAAAGTGATGAGCTAAACCTTTTGTTCTATCATATCTCCCAGCTACCATTTTTTTCTTTTCATATTAAGGTGTAATTTATGTATGGCCAAACGTACATGTTTTAAGTGTAGAGCTCCATGAATTTTGTCATCTCTGCTTTAATCAAGATAGAACATTTCTTTCCCCTTAGAAAGTTCCCTCCTGTTCACCCTGTCCTGCCTCCTACCTGCAGAGGCAGCTGCTGTTCTGACTCTATCACCATAAACTTATTTTGTGTATTTTGGTGCTGGTGCTTTATAAACATAGTCTATGTGCTTCCCCCCCGCCGGTGGTCCTCCTTTCATAGAATCTAATATGTGAGACTCGCTTATGTTGCATGTGTCGGTAGTTTGGTTTTTTTTTTTTTTTAAAGAGCTTCCCCATTCCTTGTATGGATACACCCCAGTTTGTCTATCTACGGTCCTGTTGATTGACATTTGGGTTTCTAGTGTAGGGATACCATGAATATTGCTGCCATGGGCATTCTTCTACAAGTCTTTTGTGAACATGTATTTTCATTTCTCCTGGGTAGATACACCTAGGAGTGGGCTTTCTGAGTCCTAGTGTTGGCAATATTAATCTGCTAGGATGTAGTTGGATGTGTATTTTCGTTCACATGTATTCTAAGTATGAGATAAATGGGCCACTCATGGCCACAGTTGCCTTCAGAAACGGGAGAGTTCTAGAGGTGATTGTTTCCTTGAGGCCTAGAAAGAAGCCTGTTATGTACAAAGTTCAAGCGGCAGCCCTTTACAACTGGCCTTGCATTCATTCAGACTTAACACTGGTTTTTAACTTTGATCTCTGAGAGTCACTCCCACTATGAGCCACCGTGAAAGGGCAAAGGGGAAATTTTGAAGTTAAAAAAAAAAAAAAACAACAACAACAACTTCTGGGTCGGTCTGGAAAGCCAAGTTGCAGCTGCCTCTGTGGTTTTGGCCCTGAAATTTTTAGACGGTGACCACAGAGTAGGAAAGTCTGGTGAGCCTGCTGGCTACACGCAGGTTCTCAGAGGGCCAGCGCTTAATGACGGTGTTTCTCCGTGTGGCGAGGGTGGGCCCGAGGCCTCAACTCAGAGCCCGCTGTTTCCTGCCCCATGGGCCGCCTGGCTTGTAATTAAAGTTTCACCAGAAAGTGGTTGTTTATCATTAGAACCTGGCAGCTGAAGTCAGTAGTGGTTTTGTTTGTTCTTCCCCTTTATGGGTGTGGAGAGCAATTAAGAGGAGAAAGTAAGCAAAAGAGCTGACTGAGATAATGCCAACACAGTCAACGTTATTTGAATGCATATCTGGATCCTTTTCCTATCCCTCTTGAACCATTTTGACATCAGAAGGAAAACTGACTATACTAATCTTTATGACGTCTATAGGTATATAAACCTGGAGAGGACATCTCTTGGATTGATTTTGATAAAGCGTCTATTCGTGTATTAGTATTACGATCTAACTACTCATAGAAAAGCCCCTCCTGGGGTGCTCAGGTGGCTCAGCAGTTTGGCACCTCCCTTCCTCCCAGTGTTGTGATCCTGGGGACCTGGAATCGAGTCCCACGTCCAGCTCCCTGCATGGAGCCTGCTTCTCCCTCTGCCTGTGTCTCTGCCTCTCTCTCTCTCTCTCTGTGTCTCTCATGAATAAATCTTTAAAAAAAAAAAAGCCCCTCCTTCCTATCCCAGACCTCCCCAGTGTTGTGG